ACGTAAGCCCAGTAAACGGTCGGGATAAGCTCTTACAGGTCAGGGTGGGCTGTGAAAGGAAGAGAGAGATGGGAGGCGTGAGAAGCCTTAAGTTAGGTCTTGCAAGATAAGAAAGAGGTGGACACTGCAGGTGGGTGAGCTGCAGGTGCAAAAGAGAGCTCTGACTCAGTTCCAAAATTCAAGAGAACCATGCAGATGTGTTCTTGCCTCCTGAGCTTCTGAGAGTGACAGCTTTGGTCCTACTCTTCTTTCTCTGCTGGCCTTACACTCCTCTTGGATGGGAACACCATGGCCTCACATGCTTGTGAGGCTGAACCATAACAGACACAAATACCCTGTAACCCCCAGGTGTATTCGCAATAGTTTGGTAGAACTGCCATAACAAAGTACGAACAAACTGAGGTCAGCAGGTGATGTGGTGGTTACGGCTCTGGACTCTCACATGACTGACCACAGTTCGAGTGCTGGACCTGGTGGTTTTCTTTCTCCTCTCTGTGGCGAGTGCACATCCCCTATAGTAAGTTAAAATAATTATAATAATTTAAATAAAATTAAATACTTTAAAAAGTACCCATACTGAGGGTCTTAATAAAAATTTATCATCTCACTAGGTTCCAGCACTAGGATACTGAGTTCAAGGTGTTGGCAGTGTTGGTATCTTCTGAGGCCCACGTCCTTGGCTTGTCAACAGCCATATTCTCCCTGTGTCTTCACATGGTGATTCTTCTCAATACGGTCACATTGCAAGTTCCTGCAGACTAGGACTTTAACATAGGGATTTATGTGTTTGAGGGAGGGACACAATTTAGCTTTACATGCTGAGGTCATGGGGGATGACCCAGTGGAGGTGAGACAGCAGAAAGGATGTCTTGTGGAGAGAGTGCCCTCATAACCCACATATTTCCTGGCCAAGTTGGGAGGAAGCATGACTCAGCACTGGGAAAGCGTCAGTGCCATCACTAGAGGGCAGCAAACAGCTCATTCGGCCCAGTCAGCTCACCCTTTCTTGCCAGGGGAAGGACAGAGGGAGAAAGCAACCCCCAGTAGGATATGGGCACATGACAGTCCTCTGTTTCTCTATCCTTTCAGGATTTGGGGTGCACACACACATTCCTGGTATATTTTTCAAGTCACTAGGGCTGGGATTCGAACTATATGGTCAGCCATGTGAGAATCTGGCTCCCTTAGCGACCAGGCCACAGGACAGCCCAAGTTCACCCTTTTCTCAAGACGACCACCCCATTACACTCAGCAGACCTGGATGGGCCCTCGAAGACAGATGATCACTCTCTCCCATTTTACTTACAAGCTCTCCAGAACCACATGGAGAGGTGGCCAGCCTTGGGACCAGCAGGTGGCGTGGTGGTTAAGGCACTGGACACTCCCACATGGTCGACCACGGTTTGAGTCCCGGACCTGGTGGCTTGCTTTCTCACTTTCCCTCCATCTCTTTCTCTCTGTGTCTCTCTCTGGTCAAATTAAAATGAATGAATGAATAAATAAAATTAAATAATTCTTTAAAAAAGAAAGAAAGGTGGTCAGCCTTAAACTATGCTGACACGCCATATCACACTCAGCAGTCAACACAAGTGTGGGTGAGGACAGGCATGCTTACCTGCTGTAGGCAGGGCTGTGAGTTGGTGCCACCATTTGAGAAGTTGGCCTTATCTGGTCCAGTTGACACTGTTGACCCCTCTGAGCCAGTGATTCCACTGCCGGGTGTCTATATCCTGGGAAGATTCCCACTTACAAAGGACAGGGCATGGGGCCAGTCGGTGGCTTGGTGGTAAAGGCAGCTGGACCTCACATGGCCAGTTGTATGGTTTGAATCTTGGACCTGGAGGCTTGAAAAACACGGTGAGGAGACCAGCAGTTGGCATAATGGCTAGGTCGCTGGACTCCCCTGCAGTCGACCGCCATTCAAGTACCTGACCCGGTGGCTTAAACTCACGCTGGGCGCATGTGCATGTGTGCCCAAGATCCCGAGTGGAGACTGGAGGGGAAGGGATTGCGGCGTGGCCCCCCCCCGGGGGGGGTGATTTCTCACTTTCTTTCTCTCTGTCTCTCTTTCTGGCGAGCGCACGCGCCCTATAGCCAAAAACCTCTCCAAAAATAAAAAGGAAAACACGGCGTGTGTGTGTGTACACGTCTGCCCAAATCCCAAGTGGAGAGCAGAGGAGAAAGGACTGCAGTATGCCCATCCTTCCTGGGGAGTGACCTCTCACTTTCTGCCAAGTACACACACCCTATCGCATATAAGAAAGAAATATATGGGGTCAGCAGGTGGCGTGGTGGTTAAAGGCACTGGACTCCCACATGGCCAAATGCAGTTTGAATCTTGGACCTGGCAGCTTGCTTTCTATCTCTCTCACTTTCTCTGGTCAAATTAAATAAATCTAAACAAAATAAAATTTAATAGAAGAAAACAAATCAGTGTACATCCAGAAAGAATTTTGCTGCTCACCTCCCCAGGCCTCCGACCTGGCCCAGCAGAGGCCAGAGCAGGGAGCATCTTCACCGCAGCCCTTCCTTCAGGGCCTGGAGCTTGGGGAGGGGCCTCAGAGGCAGCCACCTAGTGCTGCCTAATCTGAGTAGCAAGCTGGAGGCTGCTCAGCAGGGAGGCTGCTCAGCAGGGCCAGCTCCGCCCCAGAAGCTTTCACTCCTAGAACCCTTGCAGCAGTGCTAGGCACTTTCTCCCTAGCAGTGGCTCCAACACACCAGGTTTCAAAAGGTTCTGGAAGGTCAGTGACCTCCAAGGCCCACCTGCCCCACCTGGTGTCACTCGGCCAGCAGATGACACCAATGCCACAGCACTGCCTCAACACACCTGCAATCCTGGGGGGTGGGGGGGACTGTGCTGTTGGCTGCACAAAAGCCCAGTACAAGATTTGAAATTAGAGGGTTGGTTTTAGGGGGGAGGCTCAAGGCTAGGTTTAATACTCGGGCAGAGGCTCTCTTGCGCCAGTGGCTGGGCAGCAACCTGCGAGGGATCCCAAACACCCGAGGTCTGGGGTCAGCCTGTGGGACTGACAGGTACGAGGCCTCCCTGGCTGAGGTCTCCACGTCTGTGGACAGTGGAGCAACTCGTGTTGAGTGCTGATTTTGGAAATCAGGTGGGACCAGTGAATGTGGCCACAGCCCCTTTCTCCACCCCACCCGACTTGCACAGGCCACTTGGGCAAGGCCCCCGGAATCTGGGCCCTGACCACCCCATTACAGCAATGGGAAGCTGAGGCCTGAGAAAGGCAAGGGCTTACACCATGGTTTCTTCTTCACAATTCTCCAGCCCTTGTGAAAGCTTTTGGCACCAACCTCCTGGAGGGGGCAGGGAGCTGCGGGGACATCCAGGAGTCACAGTTCTCAGCTGCCAAATGCTAGCTCCATACAGAGTGGAGGGGAGGAAACAACGGTGGAGAGTAGTTCACCTGAACCGGATTTCCATCCCTGCAGGTGCAGGGCTTTACCTTGGAGGATCCACTTCCTGCTCCCTGCCCTCTACTGCCACCCCAACCTCAGGCCCCGGGGCCACATTACACACCACGTGGGCCTTGAAGCCTGCCCTCACCCTCTGTACCTCGGCTCCCAGCAGCCATACTAGGACCAAGCCGCAATCTCTCCTCTGAGGGCTGAGCAACCCTGGGGCGGAATCCCAGCACCCCGCTCTCCAGCTCTGTGCTGGGGCCCATCTCCCCTCATAGTGCCTTAGCGTCCTACTTGCACAATGGGGTTAACGGCAGTCCCCTGCCCATGCCCAGCAGGTGTCTTGGCTGTACCTGGGACCCAGCCCTGCAGTAAAAGTGCCACATCTGAGGCTTCCCCTGCTGCACACGTGGGCCTCAGTCCTCCACCCACGGTCGCCTTTTCTGTGCTTTTCAGAGGAAGAAATGGAATCTCAGAGAGACTGATGAGGACACGGTGGGGAAATGGCAGAGGTGAGGTTTGCATCAGGGCTCTGGGACTCCGAGGCTCAGGTGGAGCTCATGGCTGTATCTTAAAGCTGCTCTGGGTCAGTTATCACACACAGGTTACATTTTTTTTCCCCCCTAAAGACTCCGTGTGCTTGCCAGAGAGAGCACGGGGATGGGGGAAGCACATAACATATATATTTTATTATTTTTAATTTGATCAGAGAGGGACATAGAAAGTGAGAAAGTAAGCCTTCAGTCCAGGACTTGAACCGCCAACCAACCATATGAGTGTCCAGTGCTTCAACCACATCACCTACCAGCTCCCTGGCTCTTTTTTAACTGCTAGAGGGTGTGTGCATTCACTGGAGAGAGAAAAAGGGGGAAGAGAGCATCCCTCAACACACACACCAGGGAGACAGACCTGAACAAGGAGAAACTTGGGGCCAGCAGTTTGCTAAAGACTCCGCCCTCACCCTGTTGTAGCCTTACCAGAATTTGGCCTCTGGCCTCTGGACCTCCGGACCGTGAGTTGAATAAATCTTGACTCCTCCATAGATTCACCCAGCCTCAGGTATTCTGTGAACAGTGCAATAATGGACTAAGACGTCGACTGTGGATTCGAATCCCCAGGTCGGCTTGAAAACATGCACGGTGTGTGCAGGTGCAGCCAGGATCCTGAGACGCTGAGGCTGGGGACAGGGTCGCATGGCATGAGACCCTGCCGAGGGGGTTCCTCTCTCTGTCTCTTGCACACATGCACACGTGTGTGAACGCACACTATCACAAACAAAAGGAGCCCAATTGAGTGGTGACAGAGACTCAGAAGACAGGAGCATTGACAGTCATTTATTTCACTGATACTTTGTTAGGAAAAGTGAGAAAACAAGTTGCCAAGTTTGGGACTCTAACTGAGGTTGGCCATGTGGGAGTCCAGTGTCCTTAACCACCATGCCACCTGCCGGCCCTGATATTTTATTAAATTTGCTCTAGGACCTGTGCGCTCACTAGAGAAAGTGAGAAATCATGCCCCGGGGGGAATGGCCATACCACAATCCCTTTGCCTCTCAGGATTTTGGGCGCACACGTGCCCAGTGTGTTTCTCAAGGCCCCAGGCTGGGATTCAAACTGCAGTCAGCCACGTGGAGCCAACTGCTCCCACCACCGGCAGCAGCTGGCCCAGCTCCGACTTTCTCAGCTTGCCCCTTAGTGTTCGGAGGACGTGTCATGCACAGATCTGTGCCTCCTTGTCTTTCCTGGTAGGCTTCAGTGGGAACACCCTGCAGACGCCCTCCTCCTTGCAGAACGAGAGACCCTTGGCTGAGAGCTGGCTGGGAGTTGGTGGCTGCTTCCACTACCAGGGCAGCCGAGGGAAAGGGAAGCCTTCGGAGAAAGGAGACACCCTTACCGTTCCCCTTCCTGGTCACGTCGCTGCCTGATTGCTGTTCCAGTGACAGGAGTCCTCGCCCTTGCCCGCCGTGATGGCGGCCCTGAAGTGCCTGCTGCTGTCAGTCAGGAGGGCTGGTGCGCCTGGGCGGTCAGGCATCCAGAACTTGGGTGTTTTTTGGACAGTTTCTCTACATTGCCCAGATGGGCCTTGAACTCATGCTCCTCCTTCCTCAGCCTCCCAATTAACTGGGATTATAAGCATATGCCACTGCACCCAGACAGGTTTTTAGTTTTATTTATTTATACCTTCCATGAGACAGACAGAAGCATCTTACCTTACAGGGTCTTGATACCAAGATCCACTTCAGCTTTTAGCCAGCGCCAGATCATATGCACAGGTGTGCCTGCATAGCCGGGCCATGGGCACAGGTGCACTCCATGTACCCGGGACTGTGGGGACAGCTGTGCACATGTATCTGGGGACGTAGGCACAGGCGTCCCCCATGTACCCAGGGGTCGTGGGCACAGGTGTCCCGTGTACCCAGGGGTCGTGGGCACAGGTGCTCCCCGTGTACCCAGGGGTCGTGGGCACAGGTTCATCCACGTACTGTGGGCTCACAGGCACAGGTGCACCTGGCATGCTCAGATGTGAAGCCAGAATTTGCCCATCTGGTCACCCTCATAGAGTGTTGTGTTCAATTTTATTAGGCAGAGTCTGTGTGTCAGAATCCTGTCTCAGTCACTCGGGTAGCTGGCACCGCAGGTGCCACCACCATGCCACCTTTTACATAAGTCAGGGATGGAGCCCGGCCTCCCGTGACCTCAGCCTGCCCAGCAGTTGCCTCCAGTGTGTGCCACTGCAGCTGGGCTGAGGTAACTCTCAGGTCGGCAGCTAAGTTTTTAAAGTGTACATGACACTGTGGCCATCGACCTGAGTGCAGAATCTGAGCCGCTGCCCCTAAGGCCAAGCAGAACAGCCAGGGAGAGGCCGCAGAGGCCCGGACCGTCAGGGCTGGGGGGCCCTCGGGCACCGGTGGGGACACCGAGGCCCAGAGTAGAGACCCTTGCCAGCATCACGCAGGGCTCTTGCCTGATGCCTAGGCCCTGGCCTGTTGCCCAAACCGCCTGGCCTCCCTTGGCCAATGGGTTTTTCCACGTTGGCCAACGGGTTTCCCCACATTGGCCAACGCTGGGTCTCCAGCAAAGGAAAGAGCGGCCCCCTCTCAGGAAGGCACCGGGCCTCCATTTCACCACAGCCCTTGGGCAAGGCAGCCTGAAGAGCATCTAAAAGGGGCTGGCAGCAGTGCAGGGTCAGAAGGCATGATGGCAGGGGCCTGGAGGGCACTCGTGCTGGTGTTGGGCGTGGCCGTGGTGGCCTGTGTGGCGCACCACCGCCTGACATATGAACAGATCATCGCCCAGGCCTTGAAGTCCTACAACGAGGGGCGACAAGGAGAGCCCCTCTTCCGCCTGCTGGAAGCCACCCCGCCTCCCAGGCTGGTGAGTGTCTGTGAGGACCAGGCCGGGGCAGGGGGCAGTGGGGACGCAGGAACCGTCAGCCTTGTATCTGAGGATGGCAGGCGGGGGAGCATGCCTGCTCCATGATAAAGCGGGTGACTGCTGCTGTGGCCGCTAGCATTCCTCCCCCAGAAGGTAAGGCGTCTGTCCTCACAGCCTGACAGCTGACCGGTGGTAAACTCAGGGTGTTGGGGCCGACAGGTGGCTTGGTGGTTAGGGCTGTTGGACTCCCACATGGCTTACTATGGTTTGAGTCCCAGAGCTGTCTCACTTTCCCTCTCTCTCTCTTTCTCTGATCAAATTAAAATAATAATAAAATGATAACAAATAAAGTTAAATAAAATAATTTAAAAAAAACTAATTAAAAAAAAATTGGGGTGTTACCCAACATGCATCTGCGAGTCTAGCCTGCAGTCAGGGCCCTGGCGTGGGGGGATATGCAAAGCCGTTTCAAAGGGGACAGGAATTGATGGACTGGTCTCGCCCACTTGGGAGTTTCATTTTCCTGTTATTCCTGACAGCTGAGCATGAAGGGTGGGGATTCTTATCCCTGTTTTACAGGCCTGGAAACTCAGGGGCAAAGGCTGGAACCAACCCTGAGGTCAGACAGGTATTCTTGGCTATGTCCCAAAAGTCTGCACACCTTGACTCTCTGCTGAGACCACTTAAAGCCCCTGGCTTTGGTGCCACAAGACCTGGCCTAAGCCCCTTCCAAAGTGTAATCTGACCTCTATGCCATCGCTCCCCTATCTGTAAAAGGAGGTGTCAGTTTTTCAAAATAATTATTTATTTTATTTATTACTATTATTTTCAATCTGACCAGAGAGAGACAGGGAGAGAGAGAAAGAGAGGGAAAGTGAGAAAGTAAGCCGCCTTGTCTGGGACTCAAACCATGGTCGGCCATGTGGGAGTCCGGCACCTCAACCACCACACCACAGTCATGCATCTTCTCTTGCTTCTTTAGAATTCTACGATCAGGATCCCACTCAACTTCAGGATTAAAGAGACGGTGTGCATTTCTGGCCAGCAGAGAGAGCCCAGGGAATGCAACTTCGAGGAAGACGGGGTGAGTCTCATTCCTCGACCTCCCAACCCTGGTGAGCAGGTCTCCTCTCTTGGCCTCAAGGAGAGTATGTCTGCCTCCACCCACTTCATCTGAGCTTTACAGGTGGAAGCCTTTTTCATTAAAAAAAAAATTATTTATTATTATTATTACTTTTGTTCAGTTAGACCAGAGAGAGAAATTGAGAAAGCAAGCCGCCAGGTCCAGGTCTCAAACCCTTAACTACCACGCCACCTGCCAGGCCCCCAGAAGACTTTCTTAAAGTCAGATTTTTCCTTATTGCTTTTCCTTTTTTTCCCCCTTGTTTTTTAGGGAGATTTTTACTACAGGGCACGTGTACTCATCGGAGAGACAGAAAGCAAGAAATCACCCCCCTGGGGGCATGGCCATGCCACAATCCCTTCTCCATTCTCCTCTTGGGATTTTGGGCACACGCACAGGCGTGAGTTTCAAGCCACTGGGTCCAGAATCATGGTGGACTATGTGGGAGTCCAGTGACATAACCATTACACCATCTGCTGGTCCCCCATATTCCCTTACTACTTTTTCTTACTCTAAATTAATGACACCCTGTCACCTAGTAGTTAAGGGAACTGGACCCGACATGGTCCGAATCCTAGCCAGGTAGCTTGAAAAACACTGGACTATGCATGTGTGCCTGACAGGATGGCAAAATAGAGAAAGGATTGTGGTGTGACCAGGCCCTGCTGCGGGGGGGAAGGGGTGCTCGTGAGCGTGTTCTCTGTGAGCAAATGCACACTCTGGCAGTTGAAAAAAAAAGCAATACTTGCTTTAATAAAGTGACTATTAAAAAAAAGAACAAAGCATGACCATAATCCATCCAGAGATCAGAAAAATAACACAGTAAATACTGAAAGTGTGGAAGGCTAGCCGGGGGCATGGTGGTTAAGGCAACTGGACCCCCATATGGCTGGCCACGGTTTGAGTACTGGACCTGGCAGCTTGAAAATCATACCGGCTGCATGTGACGTGTGCCCCAAACCCCAGGAGAATAATGGAGGAAAAGGGGTTGTGGCATGGCCATCCCCTCCCCACACACACGGTGATTTCTCCCTTCCCCTCTCGCTGTCTGTCTGTCTGTCTTCAGTGAGTGCATGTGCCCTATGGCAAAAACCTTTAAAAACATAAAAAGAAAGAAAAATGTGGGCACGTGTGTGTGTGCCCCAAGTCCCAAGAATGGAGGAGAAGGGGTTGTGGCGAGGCCATTCCCCCCATCCTGGCGGGGCGTGCTTCCTCGCCCGCCATCTCTGTCTGGCAAGCACATGCACCATATACAGCGTTTTTGAAAATGAAAAATGAAAGAGTGCAGAGGCACAATACGATGGAGATGTCCTGAAGCCTGCTAGCTGGGGTCAAATCGTTGCCCACTGACTGCCCTCTGTATCTATTTTGCGCAGACCCTGGGTTTACAAATGTTTCCTCCGGGCATGCTGATTGGTGGCTGCCTTTTCCTCCCTAGTGTCTCACACCAATGCTGTCACTTCGGGCCTGAGCTTGCATCTCTGGTGTGAGGGTGGAGTAGAGGAGATCCTGGGAGAACAGTGGGGTGCCTGGGGCTTGGGTGAGGCTCCAGGAGGCTGAACGCCTCCAGCTCTGTGCCCACTCCCTGCAGGAGGAGCGCAAGTGCACCGGCAGCTTCACTCGGGTGCTGCACATTCGTGCCCTGACCCTTACCTGTGACAGGGACTGCAGGAGAGCAGCAGGTGAGCCTCGCCTGCCTGTCCTTGCTTGCACCCTCCCCCCTGCCTCCCTCCCAGTTCCTTCCTCACCCACCCCCCCGCAGCTGGCTGGCAGTCCCGTCTGCCTGTCCACTCCCTTCGTGGCTGTCTTCCTGGTTACCTGCAGACCCCCGAGGTGCCGCCTGTGCACTGATTTAAGCAGCAGTGCTGCAGTTCCCTCTCTGTAGCAAGGCTGTGCAGCGGGAGGCGAGGGAGGCCCAGGGTCCAGCTGGGGAGGGGCCCTTGCTGCTCGCAGGACCCTGGCCATGCCTGAAGAGAGCCCTTGGAAACCACCCATCCCTAGTCCCACATTTGGGAAAACTGATGCCAGGGGTGGAGCCTCCTAGACAGTGGGTGGGACAGCTGGTTGGAATAGGAGCTAAGTCCCAGAGGGCAGTCCTGCTGGGGCAGTGGCCAGCCAGGGGCCTCCTCTAGCCCTATGGCCAACCACCCTGTCAGGACTTGAGGGAGGGGCCATGGCAGGGCAGGAAAGGGGTCAACCAGTGATCGCCATGGCAGACTCTCTGCAGCTCCCCTCCGGGGTGAGGAGTTCCCCAGAGGCTAAGAGCACCACGCTGCCACCTGCCGTCCGCAACCTATACGAGAAAGCCAAGTATGAAATCATAGCCAACATCCTGAGGAACTTCTAGGAATGGAGAGGGGGACCTGCGCTCCCAACGCCGCCGCCTCTTTCCACCAGCCCTCCTCCTGCTGCTGCCTCCAGCACCCCTGTCCTGCACAGTAAGAAGGCCCCTTCTAGAGGGCCCCCAGACTCTAAGCCAGTACACATGCCTCTGCACACCTGCTCCTCTGCCTGCCATTCCTGCCCCATCCTGTCCGTAAGTCATCCTGCAAGGCACAGCTCAAGTCACCTCCTCCAGGGAGCCTGCCTGCTCTCCCGGGGCAGAAGTGTCCTTTTCATCTGCTCACTCGTGACAGACGGGCTGTGGATGAGTCAGTGCAGCGAGCCTGCATCCCACGACAGCGACACTTTCACACAGAGCCCTGTTCATCCTTGCTGCAGGCCCTTCCACACATCCAGGCCTCTTCAGGGGGGCAGTCAGAAGGCCCCTGGGGGAGGCTCAGTAAAATGTTTCTATAACTGATAAGTGAATGCTTGAATGATGTGTTAGAGAGAGGCTGAACTGGCTGGACCTGGGTAACCAGACTCCCAGAGGTCAGGAGCTGTGGAGGACAGGGGCCATCTGAGGGCTGGCCTGGAGGCTCAGGGCGAGAGCAGTCTGTCCCCTGCCTCAGCTGCCTTTCGTACCTTCAGACTCTCACCTTCGCCCCAAGCTCCAGCCGGATCCTGTCCCTGACCCCCAGACTGGCTTGTGGAATCGGTCTCGTCCCCCTCTGCCCTTCTTGTAGCCCACCCCAGGCAGCTGCCAAAGCCCGAGTGTCATCCCTGGCTCCTCGTGTCCTCACAGCCACATCCGGTCACCCGCACCTTTGTCTTGGTCCCTGGTGCGTCCCCAGTCCCGAGAACAAAGCCTGGCCCTCTGCAAGTGCTCAGTAAATGCCTGTGGAATGGATGACCGTCCTTTCTGTCCAGCTGGGTGCTCCTCTCTACAGAAATAACAGTGACGTCTCCCATTCCAGGGCTACCGTGTAGCACACCCCACCCCCTGGGTACGGGCTTTTTAGTAACAGGTCCAGGGAGGCCAAGGACCCTCTCAGTAATGCTAATAACCATCTGCGTGCCTCTCCTTGGCTGGCCTTGCAAACTGCATGTCACACCTGCAGCTTCAGCGAGGACTCCAGGTCTCAGGGAAGCGGGCCTGTGGGGAGGTGGGCAGTCTGGTTGAGCGCGACAGCCTTATTCTTCCCCACCCTCAAACTCCCAGTTTAGGAGGCTCTTTTTTGGGGGAGAGGTTTTTGCTATAGGGCACATGCATTAGCCAGAAAAACAGACAGAAATTGAGAAATCACCCCCCACCCCAGGGGGATGGCCTCGCTGGAATCCCTTCTCCATTCTCCTCTTGGGATCTTGGGCACGCACGCACACACGCCCGGCTTGAGTTTAAGCCCTTAGGTCCGGGACTTGAACCATGGTCGACTACATGGGAGTCCAGTGACATAATCATTATGCCAACTGCTGGTCCCCCTCTAGGTTCTTGAAGACCAAGTTCAGCCAAATGAGAGCCTGATCTTATTAAAAGACACAAAATGAGTTCTGAAAAAATGAAAAAAGGGCCGGTCTGTGGCCTGGTGGTTGACGCAGCCAGATCCCACGTGGTCAGCCCGGCAGATCCAGTCCCTGACCCGGCAGCTCAAGAAACACGGTGGGAGGACCAGCAGTTGGCGTAATGGCTATGTTGCTGGACTCCCATGTAGTCAACCACGGTTCGAGTCCCGGACCAGGTGGCTTAAGCTCACACCAGGCGCGTGTGCTTGTGTGCCCAAAATCCCGAGAGGAGAATGGAGAAGGGATTGCGGCGTGGCCATCCCCCCTGGGGGGTGATTTCTCGAGTTCTCTCTCTCTGTCTCTGTCTGCCTTTCTGGCGAGTGCACGTGTCCTACAGCAAAAACCTCCCCACCCCCACCCCCCAAAAAAGAAATGCTAATGTACATGTGTACCCAGAACCACAGGAGGGGGCTGTGGAGAAGAAACCGCAGCGTGACCATGGCCTACGGGTGCTTTCCCCTCTCCTCTCATGAGCACACTTGCCCTCTGGCAAATAACTAACTACAAATGAAATATGTCTTGTTCTAATTTAAGGTCCAAGAGTCAGGGATTTTAAAAAAATCACTTATTTTCTGCTTTGTCTCTATGCCTAAAATTCAGTATTTGCTGATTAAAAAGAGCCTTGAATGAATAAATGTAATATTATGAATAAATCAGTTTCTTAAAATAAATGCATCAGAATCCATTAGGATCATAAAAGAGTCTGTGTGTTTTTGAAGAACATAAAATAATCCTGAAATTCAGCCTGGGCTCTGGTGGTTAAGGTGGCTGGATCCCACATGGCCAACTACTCAGCTCAAGTCCCAGATCTGGCAGCTTCAGAAGCACACTGGGTACACCTGTGTATGCTCAACTCCCAAAAGGAGGAAAGAGAGGGGAGGGGTATGGGTGACTATACCTCGTGCAGGGCGCTTTCTCTTCTCCCTGTCTCTCTGGCAAGTGCATGGAGCAAATTTTAAAAAGAATGAAATGTCAGGGTTTAGCCAAGAAACTGAAAAAGGAAAGTGAATTGGGAAAAAGTGACTATAACCCACTGGGCCCAGTGGCATGGGAGAGGACCTGGAACCAGATCACCCTACACAGAAGGGATCTATGACCAAAGGGGAAGTTCCCGCCAGTGTGGGAAGGATGGCTTTCTTTCATTTATTTACTTTTAGTTTGCCGGAAGGCAGGTGTGCTAGCCAGAGGAGGAGAAAGCACACACCAATGGGGTGTGGTCAAACTGCAATCCCTTCTCCCTCTCCATCCTGTCAAGGCTCTGGGCATATACTCACATGGGCCCAGCATGGTTTCCAAGCCACTGGAGCCAGGAACCCTGGCCCGAGGGAATCTGCTGGGGGTGGGTGGTGGTGGTGGGGGAACCCTAGGAATAAATCTGTGTGTTGTTTTTTTTAAAAAATAATTTTATTTAACTTTATTTATTTATTTTTAATTTGACCAGAGGGGAACAGAGAGAGAAAGAGAAAGTGAGAAAGCAAGCCACCAGGTTCAGGACTTGAACCACGGCTGGCCATGTGGGAGTCCAGCACACTTAATCACCACACCACTTGCCAGCCTCTGTGTGTGCTTTTTTAAAAGAATTATTTAACTGGCACAGCAGATGGCATAATGGCTACATTGCTGGACTCCCATGCAGTCAACCGCGGTTCCAGTCCCGGACCTGGTGGCTTAAACTCATGCCGGGCATGTGTGCATGCGTGCCTAAGATCTTGAGAGGAGAACGGAGGAGAAGGGATTGTGGCGTGGCCATCCCCCGCCGGGGGGGGGATTCCTCGCTTTCTGTCTCTCTGTCTCTGTCTTTCTGGTGAGCTCACGCACCCTATAGCAAAAATATCTCCAAAAAATTTTTTTTTAATTTTTTATTATTTTTAAAAAATTTGATCAGAGAGGGAAAAGTATGGAAGTAAGCTCCCATGTATGGGACTCCAACTGTGATCAGCCATGTGGGAGCCCAGCATCTTAACCTTCACACCACTGCCATATTTCCAGTGAATTTAAAAAAATAAATTATTTACTGGGACCGGCAGTTGGCATAACAGCTATGTCGCTGGACTCCCATGTAACTGACCATGGTTCAAGTCCCGGACCTGGTGGCTTAAACTCATGCCGGACGAGTGTGCATGCGTCCCCAAGATTCCGAGAAGAGAATGGAGACGGGATTGTAGTATGGCCGTCCCCCTGGGGGGTGATTTCTTGCTTTATGTCTCTCTGTCTTTCTGGCGAGTGCACACGCCCCATAGCAAAAATCTCTCAAAAAAAAAAAAAAAAAAGAAAGAAAGAAAGAAAAAGAAATGATTTATTTGGGGGTCTGGCAGGTGGCGTGGTGGTTAAGGATGCTGGACTACCACATGGGCAACTGCAGTTTGAGTCCTGGACCTGGTGGCTTGCTTTCTTACCACCCCCCACCACCACCTCTCTTGCTCTGTCCCTCTCTGGTTAAGTTAAAAATAAATGGATGGATAAATGAGTAAATAATAAAATTTTCAGGGCTGGCAGGTGGCATGGTGGTTAAAGGTGCTGGGTGAAACTCTCGGACCTGGTGGCTGGCTTCCTCACTTTCCCTGTTTCTCTGTCTGTCTCTGATTAAATTGGAAAATAATAATAAATAAAATAAAATAATTATTAAAAAAGAAATTAACTTCATTTATTTTTGATTTATTATTTTATTTTTTAAAAATTTGACCAGAGGGGCCGGCAAGTGGCATGGTTAAAGGCGCTGGATTCCCACATGGCTGACTGTGGTTTGAGTGTTGGATCTGGCAGCTTGCCTTCTTAATTTCTCTCTTTCGCTCTGTCCCTCTTTGGTCAAATTGAAACAAACAAATGAATAAATAAATAAGGTTAAGTAAAAAATAATTCTTTAAAAAAATTTTTGACCAGACAGTGAGAAAGGGAAAGTGAGGAAGCAAGCTGCCAGGTCCAGGACTCAAACTATGGTCAGTCACATGAAAGTCCAACACCTTAACCATCATGCTACCTGCCAGCCCTGAATCTGTGGTTTAAAATTTTTTCAATCATTTTTTTCTTGAGAGGTTTTTGATATAGGGCGTGTGTGTTCACCAGAGACAGAGTGACAGAAAGTGAATCACCCCCCCCCACCCTCCGGGGGGGATGGCCATGCTGCAATCCTTTCTCCTCCATTCTTCTCTCGGGATCTTGGGCACGCACACACTTGCCACCGGGTCCAGGACTCAAACTGCGGTCGACTACATGGGAGTCCAGCGACATAGCTATTAGGCCAACTGCTGGTCCTGATTTTTAAAATAAATTACTTAATTTCATTTATTATTATTATTTTTAATTTGACCAGTGAGAGACGGAGAGAAAAAGGGAAAGTGAGAAAGCAAGCTGCTAGGTGTGGGACTCGAACTGTGGTCACCCATGTGGAAGTCCTGCACCTTAAGCACCACACCACCTGCTGACCCTCCAGTGATTTTTCTGTGCACCAAAGTTAAAGCATCCCTGGCCTAGAGCAGATGATTCCCTAGGGCTTCCATCCACACGGGGCTGGGATCACCGAGCACCTGGCTCAGGTGGGTTTCCTGGTGGTCTGTGCACGCCTCGCTGTGTGGGAACCAGCTGTTCAGTTTCCACTCCCCAGATACAGCGGCGCTCAGAGCTGCCTTCCTAGACCAACCGTCCCCGCGGCTACAGATGTTGGGAAGCTCTTTAATCACACGTTCCTAAAAGGAGCTGGCGGTGTTAGTTGCAGGCACCAACGGGCCAGCCTCACAGTCCACTGTGGAACTCTGCAGTTGTTTTGTTTTCTTTAAGGTTTTTGCCATAGAGTGTGTGTGCTTGCCAGAGAAACAGAGAGAGGGAAAGTGAGAAATCACCCCCCTGGGGGGATGGCAATACCGCAGTCTCTTTTCCTACATTCTCCTGCTGGGATTTTGGGTGGACACCCATATGTGCCCAGCATGATTTTCAAGCTGCCAAGTCCAGGACTTGAGCTGCCATCAGCCGCATGGGAGTTCAGTGCTTCAGCTGCCATGCCACCTGCTGGCACCAGGAACTCTGGAGCTCTATGGCAGGGATGAGGGAAAGGAGAAACTGAGAGCAGTGGCCATCTGGACACATCTGAGCAAACACGCAGTCCCGATGTGCTAACACAGCATGCATTATTCCTCACCAGAACCAATTGGGGCCAGCAGATGGCATAACAGCTATTGCTGGACTCCTGAGTAGTCAACTGCAGTTCGAGTCTCGAACCCGGAGGCTTAAAACTCACACTGGGTGTGTGTGCTCAAGATCCTGAGAGGAGAAAGGAGAAAAAGGGACTGTGGCATGGCCATCCCCCCAGGAGATGATTTCTTGCTTTCTATCTCTCTAGCAAGTGCATATAGCAAAAATCTCTCTCTCTCAGAAAAGAAAATACAAAAAATCTCTTAAAAAAAAAAAGAAAACACGTCCACCTCTGCAGACCACCCCACTGTGCACCTGTGTCTCTCCATCTCTCTACAGGGCTGTTCCCACGGTGTCCAATGCATTTTCGTACCAAATCACAATAAAACCCTAGTTAAAAAATAAATCATGTGGGGCCAGCAGGTGGCCTGGTGGCTAAGATAGCTGGATCCCCACATGGCCGACTGCAGTTCAAGTCCTGGACCTGGTAGCTTGAAACTCATGCCGGATGCATGTACGTGTGTGCCCCAAATTCCGAGAGGAGTGAAGAAGGGACTGAAGTGTGGCTATCTCCCCTGGGAGTGATGGCTCACTTCCCTTGTCTGTCATCTCTGGCAAGCGCATGCATCCTATGGGCAAAAACCTGAAATAAACAAACAATAAATAAATCAGGGAAGGGCAAGAGCTATTAGGAGTGTTCTCTTTATTTCTCTTTGGTTTAACATAAAAGACATGCGTTCCATAAATAAAAGGAAGTAAGATTTTCTGGGACACAATAAATTGGGGTGGGGACAGAATTCCTAGTCGATCTCTGGTCTCAGAGGAAATCCAGAAGAGAAGGCTGCGTGTGTTATCCGAGGTGACCTGCCAGGACGGGCAGAGCCGCAGGCCTCTGCTCAGAGCAGTGCCCGCCTGCCCACATGGCACGGCCTCTCCACTGCAGCCCCGGGTGAGGTGAGGCCAGGGTGCTAGCGGAGAGGCGCCCACGCAGAGCACGCCACGTCCGCGACAGACCTCCGCCACCAGGCCAGACCATGGACTGACTGGGAAGGGTGTGAAGAGGCTGGTGGTGCCTCCCTCATGCCCAGAGCCCAGTCAGAGCGTTGCAATCTCGCCCGGAGACGCTGACCTCAGGGGAGTCTTGTAACGTCCACACCAGGGGGTGGGAGGGGGCTCGGGAAGGCCACTCTGAGGCCAGCGGGCCATGGGAAGTTGATCTCCTGGGCCAGACCCTAAGGACCCGCGAGGCCTGGGCAGCGTCCCACTGACTGATTCTTAAGACCGTCACAATCCGGGTTCTTCAGTGCTGCTTCAAATTTTCTTTTCAAACAAGAGAAGGGGGCTTATGATGGTAAGATGAGCACGGATACACTCCTCTCTAAAGGGAACGAGGGCCCCAACCCCCTCCAGCTACCTCTGCAGGCAAGCTGGCAGGGAGGGAGGGCGAGGGGTGGGGAGGACACTGAAGCTCCACCAGGAGCCCAGGCTGAACTCCGTCAGGTATCAGATTGCCGAGTCTTTAAAAATAAAAACATCGTTTTCAAGTGCTTATAGTAGAGGCCCAGCTCCTAAGTTGCAGGTAAGGAAGGTATTCCCCTCGGAGTACATGGCGATTGCACACACTGGTAAACCAGCTGGGGGCGCTGGCTCTGCGCCGTGCCTTTCCAAACAGGCCTTCAGGCTCCCCCAGGCCGACAGCAAAAGCCAGGACACCACCCAGGCGGAGACCGGGACCCCAAGGCGCAGCCTTGGGGTCTCTCCCGGTCTCGACGGGAAGAACTTTAGAAAACCACGTTTTGGCAGCAGCAGTGCACGGGTTAACAGAAGACACCCTCCTCTCTGGGTCCTGCTGTGCCTCAAGGGCCTATCCCAGGAGGAGGGAGTGCGGAGTCTCTTCGGGGCCCTGTGCCAGGACCCAAGGGAGAGGAAGAGCTAAAACCTGCTCTGTGCAGCAGCGAGTGCCTCCACGGTCCTCGATCCTCGACTCAAGCCAGCTCTGCTTGGGTATGGAGGGCCACTGTGCTGGTTGGGCTGCCAGGGCTGGAGGAGCCAGGGCCCTGGCGTTGGCGAGGGGTGGAGGCGCAGTGGAATGGCAGGGCAGACAAGGTCCCCAGACCAAGCCCCCCATGGCTGGTAGAAGGAGCAAGCCCCTAGTAGGTTCTGGAGGGACAACTGGTCAGCATGCCCCAGAAGCATCACAATGAAGAAATTCATCCAAGAACAACAGACAGGCAAGTGAGAATCTGGCCAGACCTGCTGTTTCCTGCTGGTCAAAAGGGAAGGAATGACTGTCGGTGAGAGTGGGGCATGGTGGCAGTGGGAGGTAACCGCAGGGGCACCCGGAGCTGGCAGGCATCTGGGAGCCCCACCTCGAGGACTGGCAGTGACTCGTAACCCAGCTGACGTGCTGAGCCCGCAGTGAAGGTCTCCGTCCAGCTGACGCGCTGAGCCCGCAGTGAAGGTCTCCGTTCAGCTGACACACTGAGCCCACGGTGAAGGGTCTCCTGACG